TTGCAAGAAATGCTTCAACCATACCTTTCTTTTGCTCAAAGAAGTTGCCTTTGTTGAATGGCTTGTAGTTGATAGAGAAAATATAGCCAGAGTGAAGCTGCGCCTTCAAGAACAATCCATCTGCAGCATGACCAATTGCCAGCTTGTAGTCTCTGACAACTCGTGGCAGGTGCAGCACTTTGTGAACCTCCATGTGCAGATTTCGTGGCAGGCGCAGCACTTTGTGAACCTCCATGTGCAGATGTCGTGGCAGGCGCAGCACTTTGTGAACCTCCATGTGCAGATTTCGCGGCAGGTGCAGCACTTTGTGAACCTCCATGTGCAGATGTCGTGGCAGGTGCAGCACTTTGTGAACCTCCATGTGCAGATTTCGTGGCAGGCGCAGTACTTTGTGAACCTCCATGTGCAGATTTCCTGGCAGGCACAGCACTTTGTGCACCTCCATGTGCAGATTTCGTGGCAGGCGCAGGACTTTGTGAACCTGCATGTGCAGATTTCGTGGCAGGCACAGCACTTTGTGCGCCTCCATGTGCAGATTTCGTCGCAGGTGCAGCGCTTTGTGAACCTCCATGTGCAGATTTCGTGGCAGGCACAACACTTTGTGTAGCTGACCATGGTTTGCAGGCGCTAGCTAGCAAGCCAGAGAGCCACTGGTGACTTTGTACTACAAATTGAGTACGCGGAGCAATCTGTGCAGCTAGAAGCTGAGAACTGGCGACTTTGTAGTACAACTTTAGTACGCGGATGAGTCATCTCTCGCTGCTGAGTCATCTCTCGCTGGTGAGTCATCTCTTGCTCCTGAGTCATCTCCCGCTGCTGAGTCATCTCTCGCTGCTGAGTCATCTCTCGCTGGTGAGTCATCTCTCGCTGCTGAGCCATCTCTCGCTGCTGAGTATCTGGGGAGCTGGAAAATGAGAACTGGCGACTTTGTAGTACAACTGTAAAGTACGCGGAGTATTTGGCAAGCTGGACAATGAAGACGTGATTTTGACTTTGAAAACACCACCCACTTCGCGTGCCCGCGCCAGCTGCACTTAACTTTCGCTTGCAGATGCCCAGTTGCTTCAGCACGCCGGTGTGGGCTGGTGATCTTGCTTTGGCATAGACACAACCCAGTGCGCTGTTGTGAGCTGCTGATCCTGCAGGGAGCGCAGATTTTGCACAGGTGGCGCTGTGTGTGTGTGTGCCAAAAGTCCGGAGCGCATGCGTTTGGCTCAGTGAGGGACACGAGGGACACGCATGGTGGAGAGAACGTGGACACTCCTATAGGTCAATTTCTTCTTATGGGAAACCTGCCGGCTTGCCCGGGAACTACTTGTAGTAAAAATTGGCACTTGCTCAAATAAACTGCAGGAGCATTCCCACTGGCGGTCAAGATCATGACTCCTGAGCTTCACACCCATGTCTTGACGCTGCAAATGGCCACCGGGCCCTTGTGGAGCTGGTATACGAGGCAGGTGACGGAGGTCAAAAACCAGTTCCACGCAATTGACTATGCCATCTCAATGGTGTTGCCATTGGAGGAGGAGAGGAACACCTGTGTGACCTTGCAAAGGTTCTTTGCAGTGAGGAGGTATCAAAGTTCAATTGTGAAAATGATTCCCTGTCAGCGCTCAAGATATTTGACTTGATTATGCAGTTGCTTGCGCGGCGGAGATGGTCATTGGCTGTTCGGCGTGCCCTGCCCCCAGAGCAATATGCTGGAGTGCTCTCTCCTGAGAATGAAGTTCGCAAGACATCCCTGCAGCTTTTGAGGAAGCGTCACGACTGCCTTCTGAAATGGGAGGATGATGTTGCCAATGATCTAAGTTTGAAGGAAAGTGTTGTTGCTCAGCAGCTCAAAGAAAATGTTTGCTTTGCAGTCAACCATCCGGCAAGACTTATGATGGATGCAATTGAAAGCATTGACTATGACCACAGGCGACTGCGAGGATATGGCCACAAGACCAGCGTGGTACTGGGGCAGAACCATAAAGAAGCTGGAGAACACTTGCTGCAGACATTGATCCAAACATTTCCTGACAACAAGATCGTTGAAGATGTTCACAATGCCTTGCGATTGGAAGCCAGGGCAAACAAACATAACAAATTGACGCCTTCAACCATGCAATCGGTTTGCATGAGCTCTGGAGTCCTTGAAAGCCGTTGCATTTCACACGAAGCTGAAGTAGCTGAGTCTGAGTTTATTCAGTCACTGGGCGAATCTGGAGGAGCCAAGGAAATTTACTGGTCAAAGGCGCGCGTGTTGCCTGAAGAATATATTACAATATATGGCGTGAAGTCATGGAGTGCATTTACAGAGGTCATTGGAAACAGCTGCAGCAGCTTGGGCCTGGCTCCAATTTCAGTCTCAGACCCTTTCGGTCTTTGGCAACCTGAAAGCCACTTCAGGAGTCTTCAGCAAAGTGGCCAGAAGGGGCCTTGTGTTTCAGTTGAAGGACCCCGTGTCATCACCACAGTTTTCTTTCGGTCATGCTGACTGGGGTGTGTTGATGTGGCCCCTTGAGTGGTATTCTTCTGATGATGAATACGAATACTACACTCTGAAATGCGACGCGGAAGCAAAGTGGGAATTTTTACACGAACCACAGGACTGGAAGGTGGTGGAAATGGAGCCTGTGTGGCAATCGAACATGATTTGTCTTCAGTGCAATCGATCTTCTTGGGAGAATCTGCTGGATGCCTTGCTGAAGGACCGAGCATATCCTGGCAACCTATATATATATATATATTTATTCATGCAATTTATTGCATACATGTATAACTTGCTCTTTTTTGGTAGTCAGGTATTGTGGATCATGGCAGAAGAAGTTGCTGGAGCAGCTGGCTGTGCAACATGGGGTAACTGGCTTGAAGAAGAACGATGCAATCGTGACCAAGTTGGCCCACCAGACCCACCCCAATGACCACGCTTTTAGGACCTGGTCAACCAGGTTTGGTCATCGAAGCAGAACGAAGCAGCTCAGCCCAAGAAAACGTATTCAAGCGTGACCTGGGAAAAGATGTCGACCAAGATGTCCTGGAATATATTGATGAAGAAGAAAAGAAAGAGTTTAATCAGGTGAGAGAAGCTGCCAAGCGCAGAATCAAGGAAAGAGCAGCCATGCTTCATGATCAGATAGTAGAAGCTAGGGCTAAGCATGAACCCAAGGAAAGAAAGCCGGCGACAAAGTCAGGAAATCTACACTTCGAGGTTCACCAAGCGCCGTGCCTGCCGCGAAATCTGCGTCGGGAGGTTCACCAAGTGCTGCGCCTGCCACGAAGTCTGCACTTCGAGGTTCACCAGGTGCTGCGGCTGCCACGAAATCTGCGCGTCGAGGGTCACAGAATGCTGTGCCTGCCACGAAATCTGCGCGTCAAGCGTCACAGAATGCTGCACCTGCCACGAAATCTGCGCTTTGAGGTTCACAGGTGCTGTGCCTGCCACGATCCAGGGTCACAGAATGCTGTGCCTGCCACGAAATCTGCACATCGAGGGTCACAGAATGCTGTGCTTGCCACGAAATCTGCGCATCAAGGGTTATAGAGTGTTGTGCTTGCCACGAAATCTGCAAACGAGCCATATCCAAAAGTCACGATTCCCTGCGCCTGTTACGAAATCTGAGCTCCTCGATGATCACCAGCATGTCCAAAGTGCTGCGCCTGCCACGAAAACTGCCTTTCGAAGTAAAACAGCTCCGATCCCTTGCACCTGTCAAGAGCGCAGTCGCCGCAGTCGAAATGCACATTGACGATGTCGAGAGGCATGAATGCACTGTAAATAGCAGCGAATTGGCCGGACACTCCCGCGACGCACAGCGATCTAAGCACACCTGCTTTTCCCTTACCGTAAGAACCCCTCAGTGTGCCCACACTGTTTGGGGAGAAAAGTTTACTTACTTATATTAAAGCTGGACTACTTTCAAAAAATACTTGCAATCCCTGCCAGCACAGGGCTCTTCAGCCAAAACTTACTAGGTTCAAAAACTTTCAACGAGGCCAGGAGCGATTATCGTAAAGGAACCGTTTGTCCTTAGTACTTCTGTCATTGTGTTTTGTAAGTTGACTTCTCGCTAGACTTGTCAACTTATCGTAAAAGGAAATGTTGAACTTTCATTTTGTCTGCAAGTTCACTGCAACTTCACTCGTGGCTCCACTCGTGGACTTACTCGTGAAAACACTTTTGGTTCACTCATGCTGTTACTCGTTGGGGAATTTTGCTCAATATTATTTCTAATCATACTTGTGCCATGTTCACTCTTGTTTGAGTAATTCCTAATCATGTTAAATTGCATTTGTGACTTTTTTATGCTTATATAAATATGATTAAATATGATCAAAACGATTTCACGCAAAAAAAAGGACCAGCCAGAGTGCACCTGGAGGGTCAACTTCAATTTGCTGACTCTACCACCCGGGAACCCCCGGCTCACGTTGGAAAGGGTAAGTTTAACAAGCGCTTGAAGTCATGCAGGCAGAAAACAGTCTACAGGGAACGCCCTGTAACGCCCCAATTTTCTCGTGACGTTTTGTTTGAGTGTTGCCACTGTTTAGGACTCGGAGGAGTGGCTCGTCTAAGAACAGGGCAACCAGGGCATACCCCTTCACCCTCGGAGTGGCCGGGCGTCGAGGGACTCCAAGTAGGCGTGAATGTTTTTTTGGTCAATCATCTCGTTACCTGTTCTTGTTCCTTGAATCTCGTTATATTGACACATGCGCTGCGAAGTGGACAAAACGGTCTGCCCGGGAATCTATGTTTTATTTACTGTATTATAAAAGACATATGTGTACAACGGTTCTTGTTTGCGCTTCACTTTCTTTGTGCTGTTGCGGACACATGCGGCAAGGGCAATAGAAATGTACTGTATGCGAGAATCAGAAGTCCAAAGTGTGGAAGTTGGTAAATCTTGCCTTCGGGTTTGCGAGAGAAATCAATTTGCAAATTGACATCAGCAAATGTTTGTGCAATGCGCCTGAAGTCATTAATCAGTTTGTTGCTAGAAGAGACTGCCGCGCTTGAGGTTTTGCCTCTTGGCTTCACGATTTTATTCTTGTGGCTCTTTGGAAACTTGGCGGCTCCGAGTACAGCCTTGTCAGAAAATGTACAGGGCCCAGGCAGAGTTGGTGAAGCTGTTATGGGAGAGTGAGCATTTTGAGGAGCAGGTGTGAAGCAAGCAGAAACGAGTGGTGAGAATGTGGCAGGGCCTTCGCCAGCTAAGCGAAGAGGTGGCTAGGAAGTGCGAAGGTTAGTATGGCCAAAAATCATTGAATCCAAACCATCAGGATCCACGTGTGAACGTCTCGTCAACAGCGGCTTTTCGATGTAACCGAGTGGCAACCTGACTTTTCAAAACACACACATAAGGTTCTAATTCTTTGAATATTTCCAGTCACATTGTTTTTCAGCTCAGTGTCATGTGTCAGGTGTGCTGCATGTTTTTGGGTCCTAGACCCAAACCGCCAAGCAAAGATAACGTCCTGGAGCATCACGGGGCCATCCTGTGGTGTAGAATGCATTGTACAACGTCTTGTTCAAAAATCAAAGAAGGATCAGCAGATAGCCCTTGCCAAGCACTGGAATGCAATGCCATGCCCAGCACGATGCTTTGATCGACCTCGTTGGTTGGAGCTTACCAGTCCACAATATGGTCCAGAGTCCAGAGGCATAAGAAAATCTAGTGCCTGACGCAGAATGGACTGGTGTGACTGGCGTGAGTGACCCAGTTGAATGGTGGCCTGAGGAATCACCAGCTTTGTTGAGAATGGCAACTGGGCATCACTTGCGCGGGAATGAGGAAACTAATCTTGCACAGCTGCAAGATGGTACAGGAAACAGAGCCAAACAGTGACTCACTCTTGTGACTCAATCGTCCTTCAGCCTTCAAAGTTTTCTTCGCTTGTGTCAAGCCAGCATTTGAATGCAATGGTGTTCCGATGCAGTGTCTTCACTCTGTGAACAACCCAAAGTTTGGCTGTCAATCAAGGTGCACTGTTTGCCAGCTTTGTGGTCTTTGCAGGACAGTGTTTCAAATTTGCAACGAGTCTATTACACAGCATGAAATCATTGTTGTGGACTCATGCAGTGGGTATCTTGCCGCGGGCAAACACAAATCAAGGCTTTGGCAGCGCAAAGTTCCTCAATATTTCAAGTTGGGTTAATCATGGTCAGACTTGGCGTTGCAAGGATATGGCGTGGCAGTTGCTCCCTTCTCGTATTTGTATCTTGGCCTTATTGTGTCAAATTGAGACTGTGCAGTACGCATAAAGAGTCTTCAATGTTTGCTTGATGTTCTTTTTTGGATGCGATCATTTCTCAGGTTGTCGTTCCTCTTCGCCAAGCACACTTCTGCCCAGATCCTATCGCTTGTCCGGATCTTGGGTTCAGAACTTCTGATTTCAAAGAGATATGAACATTATAACATTGCTGAAGACAATTAAGAAACAAAAACACCGCCGTATGTTGGAGCTCGGGCTAAGGCCGTCACACACTGGGGAATGGGTCTTGAAGTTGGAGCGTTAGGACGATGACAAAGCCCAGAACCTCCTAAGCGTGCGTCCTTGAGCACCCAAAGAACCGAGCAAAGGCGGCGACACCATCGAGCAATGCATTAGCCCTTCACGGCGTGTCCGGAACCTCCTGAGTATATGGCCTTGAAAAACCAAACGCTAAGTGAACTCCACGACACCATCGAGGGATGCATTTGTCCTTTACCAAGGGTTAAAACTTGCAGGTACGCCGAGCTGATCAGACTCGGTATCCCGTGATTGTGGTAGCTTCGTTGAGTGCGGTCCCACAATCACGCCGCACTCCCTTGCTTTCTACGATCGATACACAGCAAGTTCGAAGTCTTCCTCCACTTGTAACAGTTGACTAAGGTCAAGTTCAAAGTTCAAAACCAGCTCGGGTCTCCAACCGCATGCACACACACATGGCCCTCCCCGTGGAGGGCTCAGACTTCATGAGTGGGCCTATGCATCTGTGATTGTAGTGGCCTGAAAGTCCAACAGGCCGACGCCGAATGCGGTCCAAGCCGTTGGGTCTCGTTATCGTCCTTAGTTTGAAAGCCTCAGACACGCGTGCCTTGGTTCGATCGGAGCTCAAATGCAAGTCTGCAGAGAAACCCAAAGGATCCTGCTGGTCTTAAACGGAAGTGAGGCCAAAAGCTCAAATTCAAGTCGGCAGAGAAACCCGGGTCTTAAACAGAAGTGAGGCCAAAAGCTCAAGCGCAAGTCTGCAGAGAAACCCAAACGATCCTGGGGGTCTTGAAACGGAAGTGAGGCCGAAAGGTCAAGTGCAAGAGTGGGTCATGAGAGACATAAACGTAAGTAAAACTATCTGTTTTAGTTAGGACCCTGAGCTTGAGATCCGTGCAACGAGTGCAACGCACTGAAGTAATGAATCCCCTTGCTCTCAAAAGTCGATAAAATTTAAAGAAACGCGTCAACCACATGCAAGAGCGGGTTACACACGCACATGGCCCTCCCCGTGGAGGGCTCAGACTTCATGAGTGGGCCTATGCGCAACAGTGTCCCGAAATTCGCACAGGCCGACGCCGAACAAGGTCCAACCTGCTGGGTCTCGTGAGCATCCTTAGTTTGAAAAACCGCAGAAATGAGTGCCTTGGTGAGCTCAAGTGCAGGTCTGCAGAGAAAGCCCAAAAGATCCTGGGGGTCTTAAACGGAAGTGAGCTCAAGCGCAAGTCGGCAGAAAAACTCAAAGGATCCTGGGCGGCCTTGAACGGAAGTGAGGCCAAAAGCTCAAGTGCAAGTCTGCAAAGAAACCCAAAGGATCCTGGGGGTCATAAACAGGAGTGAGGCCAAAAACTCAAGTGCAAGTCTGCAGAGAAACCCAAAGGGTCCTGGGGGTCTTAAACGGAAGTGAGGCCAAAAGCTCAAGTGCAAGTCTGCAGAGAAACCTTAAGGATCCTCAGGGTCTTAAACGGAAATGAGGCCAAAAGCTCAAGTGCAAGGCTGTGCTTGAGATCCGGGCAAGGAGTGCAAAGCGCTGAAGTAATCAATCAAATCGACTTCTGCCGCTTTGCAACTGCGCTCGATAGCAACTTCTGCCGCTTTGCAACTGCGCTTGATTGCAGCTACATACAGTATGTCCAGAGACTGTGTTTTCTGCCTGCGAGCCACTAATCAGCGCCACTTTTGGCGTGCAGGATTCTGGTACCTCCAAATGATGACGAATGTCTTTTTTCGGGAAGGCCCGTGCCAACTATAGAGTCCCTCGACGGTGTCGCCAATTCTGGCATGCACCCTCTACACACTGGGGAATGGGTCTCGAAGTTGGAGCGTTAGGATGATGACAAAGCCCAGAACCTCCTAAGCGTGCGTCCTTGAGCGCCCGAAGAACCGAGCAAAGGCGGCGACGCCATCGAGCAATGCATTAGCCCTTTACGGCGTGCCCGGAACCTCCTAAGTGTATGTCCTTGAAAAACCAAACGCTAAGTGAACTCCACGACACCATCGAGCGATGCATTTGTCCTTTACCGAAGGTTAAAGCTTGCAGGTACGCCGAGTTGATCAGACTCGGTATCCCGTGATTGTGGTAGCTTCGTTGAGTGCGGTCCCACAATCACGCCGCACTTCCCTGCTTTCTACGATCGATGCACAGCAAGTTCGACGTCTTCCTCCACTTGTAACAGTTGACTAAGGTCAAGTTCAAAGTTCAAAATCAGCTCGGGTCTCCAACCGCATGTAAGAGCGGGCTACACACACACTGTATGTGTATCCAGCTAGCCTTTGTAAGACTGCAAGATGACAAGAGCTTGACAGCCACGGCTTGTGGGCTCAACATTCACTGCGAGTGTCTTGCGGGTTTGAGGACCAACATGAGCTGCGGTTCCGCCAGAGAATCCCGGTATTTGCCACAATTTTGCAAGGTTTTTTTGCTCTATCCTGTCTATGCCTATGCGACTGCTGATCTGCTTAATCTCCACTAGGTCTTTGCTATGGATGTTTATTCAACCGTTAAATCCCCATGCGAGGCTGACACCTGCAGCGCTAAAAAAAGAGAGCTCGAAGTTACGCGGGTGTGGTTTTACGCGTTTTTGTTTTGTTTTTCTTAAATTTTGTCATGTTTTGAAAGAGTTTCCACGGTTGCGGTCTAGATATGTTCTTGCGCTCCTGTTTCCCAAACAAACCAATTTTTCTTTTTTTGTAACAACCTCTGGATCCGACTCTACCCTTCCTTGCCCATAAGCATTCTCATTGTTTCAAAGGTAGCACTTTTTGGGCTTCTCCCTCCACATTTTTTATGAAGTGGGCTTCTCCCTCCACATTCGAAATGGAGAGAAGATCATTATCTAGAAACACAATGTGCCTACCAGGCCCAACAAAAGTTGAGAAACTTGCTTAGTTGTACTGGACCTGGATGACTGATTGGAATTGGGCTTTGCGTGGCCTTCTTGACGCCCATACCCATAACAAGCGAACCATTCTGCGAGCATTGTGAGTTAGTTCACATCCTATCCCACAAGTTCGATTAGATCAATCCTGCTCATCTCCACTGCTCTCACCCAATGGCTCTTCAGGTCTATGCTCCATATCCCCCCATCTACGACGAAATCTTCCAAAGAACGTTATGAAGCCCATGGAACGATCCAGCCATGGATACACTAAGGATCTGAATTGGCTGTGTGGCCACTACTCATTCCCAAGCTCATGAAGAACCTTCTCTGCACCCCAACCTTCTTGCCCACACATAGACATACGTGAAGTCAGGTTGTACCAAACCTGGCATGCTCAGCATGCTCCCAATGTTCACCCAACATTGCCAAGGACATTCTTTCTCGTGATGCCGCCCAAGCTCAAAACCTCATTGGACCTCACCAACGCCCACCCAAAAGTAAACCAATAAATTGTGCAAAAATTTGCTCTACCAATAGCATGAATCATGAGGATCAACCAATGTTGTACCCAAATGGTTCTGATCTTCCATTGGGCCACCTAACCACGCACGCAAACCCATTTGCGCCAGGCGTTCCATGGACCCCATCATTGATTGCCTAGCAAGTTTCCCTCTCACATGGTGCCCATGTGCTCCTGGAGGCCAAACAAACCCAATCGAAGCGCCATCCATATTGCGCTGCTGTCTGGGGCATTTGCTCAATGGCTTGTATAGCAATACGATTTGCTCAAAGTCAGGATCCCAATCGCTCATGCCCAGGTGTTGCGTCTATGCAGCCGCCTTTGGTCTCAGATGAAATTGCACACATACAGCCACAACCCCAACGCCAGCTGTTTGATGCGCCCAATGCTTCATCTCATCTCATCTCATCTCATCTCATCTCATCTCATCCCATCCCATCTCATCTCATCTCATCTCATCTCATCCACATTGGAAGTTCCATTTTCCTATGCTCACTAGCTATATGCCCATCTCTCTCTTTCTCTCTTTCATTGGATATCTTAAGCCATCAAATCAAGACACTCCTCCACACTCCACCATTGAGACCATACAGTATAGGTATTCACCCTCACCACATAGAGCCTGAATCCCCCATTCCTTCTCCATGTTCTGATGTGCAATGATCCAATTGGCATGGCTCTGATCTGTCAGATCTCTCATCAAGCTTTTGCAAAAGTACTAGCTGCTAGCTCTCATGATTCCCAGACAGAAGTCCATCAACCATCATCTATCAGCAAGTTCAGGACATCACATCATACATCATCAGATCATCACCTCTATGAGGGGATCTTGTCTCCAAGACCTCCAATCTCAATGAGTCCTCAATCTCCGGGCTCCTCCCCGGGGGTGCGAAAAAAAGACCCCCCCCCCCCCCGGGAGAAGCCCGGGCCCAGGCCCAGTTGCTGGAGATTGAGGATTCATTGAGATTGGAGGTCTTGGAGACTAGATTCCCCTCATAGAGGAGATGACCTGATGATGTATGATGTGATGTCGTGGAATTGCTGATAGATGATGGTTGATGGACTTCTGCGTGGGAATCATGAGAGCTAGTATTTTTGCAAAAGCTTGATGAGAAATCTGACAGATTACAAGTTGACATTTTTGCTAGACACGTTCTTCAAAACAACCAACAATTTCAAAAAACGCAGAAAACCACAAACCACAAAAGCGCGTAAAAACCACACCCGCATAACTTCGTTTTCTGAAAAATATACTTGCCAAATGAGATCCGTCCACAAACGTCGAAACCAAAAGCTGTTTGTCGGTAGGTCTTACATTGAGCGTACACTGACAACCGATGAGGAAAACCCAAGACCGATGTTTTGTATCAAACCGATAAGGTATGTAGTATGTTAGTATGTTAGTGATATTCATCAAAAATAGGAAACAAACGGATGAGGAGAACCCAAACCCGATGCCCTGTCCTAATGACTGCTGCCAAATGTAGGGAATTTCGGACAGAACTCAAATGCAGGTGTGCTTGTGTGACAGATATCAAGGTCCATAGAGATTACGTCCATGTGCGTCGCCAAGATACGGTGCACATCCACAATCCCCAGCTTTGACTTGGCAGCAGCGTGTCCAACCTACTAGCAATGGTCTCCAACCTAATTCCCAGCTGCCAAGTCAAAGCTGGGTGCACCAGACGACCTTTTTGTAGGTGGTTAGTTTGGAAACGAGCAACAGTTTTGACACGTGTACTGACGTGTACCCATTGCAAGCTTGGTAGGTTCAAGTGTTGACTCATGTAGAATGTGGTCGCCGACGTTTCGCGCTGCATCTTTTGTGACTAATTGGCAGGATATATTTTTTCCTTTCATGCGCATTATGTAAATGGGCACTTTGTGCTTTACATTAATTTCAGAGCCATTGCGCATGTTTTTCCAGCGAAACGGAGATGAATAGTGGCCCATCGATGACCCAGGTCTTGAACTTTTTCACGGGTCTCCTACTGATGCTGACATCCTACATTTTGAACTTGATCGAGAATACAAAGGCCATTTGGGGGAGGCCATCGCTAGTAGGTTGGAGGCCATCGTTATTTGGTTGGAGGCCATTGCTCTTTGAGTTGAACTAAAGAGTGCCAAGGATTCGGAGCCACAACCTCTTTAAGGATGCTACCATCCTCTCTTCCTTTTTTGTAAAAGGAGGTAGACACGCTACCAAAAGAGTGCCTTTGTTTGACATTTAAAATGAGACCCTTTCTGTTTCCTTTTCTCAGTGAGGGTGAGTGAGAACATCGGCGAAGAAGCTCGCTGGCAAACATAAGTCCAGAGCTCCACGTTCCAACCATTTGTCCATTTGCAAGCCAAACTTTGGCTCCTTGAATTTCTTCAGGATGTAAACGAATCATTGATGTGGATATACCGGCTTTTCCCCGGCTTTTGTCTGGGGCATGGCCTTTTCGAGCGCCTTGGCTTTTAGTTTTATCTCAATGTCATTCTCTGAAAAAGTTATCCCAAAACGATGCTTCACAGTTTCACACAGATTCACACATTCTTGAACAATTGGAATTGCTTGGTTCTCCAGCTGTCAGCTCAGGATTTGCACCAATTCAGTGATCTCTCGGCAGCTCCAAACAGAAGTAAAACTGCTCGAGTGGGATATTGCAGGCAAGGATGCATTGTTCCTGTGCGCCAACAATTTTTCCTGTTCCTCATAAGCAGCTTGTGCTACTTCATGCTTTGCTTTGAGCTCTTCAACGTCAACAGTTTGTTTCTTTCAAGGTACATTCTAGCGCCAACCTATTTCATTTTGACATTGCGTGACACTTAGCCTTTAGACAAAGGTATGGAGGTGCAAGTCGGCTTCCTTTGCGGGACACATTTTGTCCTTTGTGGCTATTCAGGTTTGGGTGTCCTCAACAGAAAAGGTAAATGTGAATAGTGCCAGAATATTTCTGCAGGGCTCAGATTCTCCTTCTCAAGGGTCGCATTCCAGCAACATTTTTTCCAAACAGTCTAAGTGTGCAGCTTATTAGAATCGTGCAACTTATTGCCACATCCCACCGCTTGCTGTAGTTTCAATCCATCCGAGGTTTCATTTTTTCACTTTATTTCCCAAGGCATCTCACAATCTCATCTTCAACAACTGTTTGGTTGACTATTCTCCTTAGATGTCACTCTGCTTGATACTGTGGTTTTTCTTCCTTCCGTCTCCTCTTGTCTCATGAATTGCTTCTCAATCCAGCTGACCTATTGAGGTAATTCTTTGTTTTTGTCGATGGTTTATTGCGAATGTAAGGTAAAAGCACTCACATGCTTGCGCAGGTGTAGTTCACTAAAGGTGACACGCACAATCGAGAAGTGTACGTGAAAGGCCGCCATTTCAGGGCCAAAAGAATCCGCATGGTAGCGGAGCCGAGGAACCTCATTGCTTAGGCTCTGAGGGGAGGCTCCAGGGATTCTTGGGGGGACAGGACCCACATCCCGGTTGGTGGCCCGGCGTCGCCCGCGCCGAAGCAATAGGTGCCTGGCTAGTGCTGGGCAGAGATCCAGCAGAGCTCGCAATCAGCGCTAGAGTCCATCTTGAAGTACAAGTTTGTCCCTTTGCCCGTGATCCCTACATCGACTAGGAGCCCATTGCCCTTGAAGCTGAGAGGGGTGAGTTCGAGCAGGCATGGCTGGTTTGGAAGGATCTCCATTGGCCGCATCCCCTACAAACAGTCAAGGAGGTGGAATGGTAGATGGCGCTGAGATCGCCAGAAGAATGGTCCAAGCTGTGGAAGCAGCAGGGGCGGCAGCCAAAGCGGCAGTGGACGCCGTGGCCAAGAAGCCAGAAGATCGAAATTGGCTTCGTGTCTTGCCAAAACCTCCCAACTTCGACCCACGATCCCGGGAGGAGGAGATGTCCCAATGGAGAGACTTTTCTTGGAGCCTGGAGCAATATCTCTCTTCCCTGGATTCCAACTTCATTGAGGACATCAAGGAGCTCAGGTCCAATCCAGGAAGAGAGATTGCAGTGGACCTCCCAGGTGATGAGGAACGGCAACGAAGCAGCTTCCTGTATGCCTTGCTGGCATCGCTTCTGCGCCAAAGGCCTCTTTCCCTGATCAAGCAGGTGAAGGATGCCTATCGAGTGCTCATCCAGAGCTTGGAACCAACCAGCAAAAACCGGTCCCTCGGACTTTTGACGATGATATTAGAATGGGGACAGTTCGACGTGAAGAAGGGGAGCATTTTGAACCAGTTGCTCAAGCTCGAGGAGGCCTATGCAGAATACGAGAAAACAGGAGCTCGTCTTGATGAGACCATCAAGTTTGCCACCCTTATGCGCTGTGTTGGAGGCCAGTTGAAGACATGGCTACAGCTACAGGTGGCTGAGACTCAGAGCTACAGTCGATTGAGAGAAGCGATTGTCCAGTACGACCATGCCACTACGAAATGGTCCAATGCCATGATCTTGAACCAGGACCCAACAGGACAAGTTCCCATGGAGATCGACCGCATCGCAGAGAAGGGCAAGGGCAAAGGCAAGACAAAAGGAAAGGATGGAGGACCTGGTAAAGGCAAGGGAAAGGGCGAGCAGAAGGGCGCCAAAGGTAAGGGCAAGTTCATGAACAAGGGCCACTCAGGTGGTAAGTCCAGCCAGAAAGGTCAGAAGGCCGATGGAAAGGGGAAGTCAAAGGAGAGCCCAGTGAAAACATGCTTCACGTGTGGTAAACCCGGGCACATGGCGAAGGACTGCTGGCGGGTTGTGAGGCAGGTTGAGTCCAGCCTCGACGATCAAGAGAATTTCAGAAGTTTCACAAGATGTTTCACAGGAATTCAACCAGTTGATGCTGATGGTGTTTGACCTCAGGTCAGTTGGTGAGGAAGAGGAGCATGTCAGGATGATCCAGTTGTTGATTCTGCCTCGTTTCTTGGAGTGGGAGCTGAGCTTGCTGAATCAGCCCCTCGTCTTCAGGATGCTCAGGGAGAGCATATACGAGTGAAGGGGTACAAGAATGTGTGCTTCTGCTTCAGGACGGAGCAGGGCAAGGAGATTCAGATCCACGAGAAAGCGCACTTTGCCGAGGGCATCAATCAGCCGATCATTTCCTTTGGGAAGATGATGCAAGCAGGATTGAAGGAGTTGGAAGATAGGGCCAAAGCTCAAAGTGGATGGGCAAGGTCTGGAGACAGGTGGGTTGGAGTCCACTTGGAAAAGAAGCGTCAAACTCCCCAGTATCACGGGGAGATTGACGCCACAGTGGGTTGGTTTCGAACGACCCTGATCAAGCAGCAAGGAAAGTGGCAGCTTGTGGAGCTCTGCGAGGCATTACATGGACTGGCAGAGCAGGAGGAGCTGATTGAGGAGGCAAAAAGGGAGAGAACGTTTTGACGATGACCATCCTGACAAGGGACACCCTCACCACAGAGGAGTTGGGATTTGAGGTGGACACAGGAATGGAGCTGGCAGCACCGCCAGTGGAGAGAAGTTGAGCTGCCAGTGGATGCTGGCCAAAAGGATGAGAGGGTTCATGATGAGCCTTTGAGAGAAGAAGGAGAAGAGCAGGAAGCGAGGTTAGTTGCAGGAGGAGCTATGCCGGGAAGCCTATTGGTCAATGGGATCGAGCTCACTCAGGAATCGAGGTTGAGCTACGAGCAGCATGCAGTTTTTACAACATCAGCACTTCAGGCAGCAAACTCAAATGCTACCAAGCCACATCAAGGAGCTGGAGTTGAAGGCAGCGGCGTCGGCAGTTGCAGCAGCCCAGATGGAGGTTGCTAGGAGACCGAGGCCACAACCTTTGGTGAAGGTTCCTTCGTAGGAAGAACAGTTCCTGCATGAGTTGATGCACACCCCATATCAGCCCTGGTGTGAGACATGTTTGATGCATCGTGGTCGACCAGACATTTGCGCACGGGACCAGCGAGACTCTCTGGCATTCCAATAACCAGCATGGCGCAAAGGCCGGAGAGATGGATCGACCAGCACCAGTGGCAGTGGAGGAAGATGGACGTGAGGTAGTAGATCTGCAACAGGAGCAAGGAGAGCAACGTGATCGGGACCTACCTGGAGGAGCTGAGGTGAGGTTCAAGGAAGTGAAGACAGCCCTGTGGTTGGTGCTGTCATGCAGTCAAAAAGGAGCGCTATGTGCAGTTCCTTTACAATCGAAAGGCCAACTGAGTCTCATGCGCCGAGAGACGATGACCTTCATCCAACACCTTGGCCATACAGAAGTGGGACTCTATGCAGACAATGAGCCGACAATGAGGGCCCTGCTACGTATCCTGTTGAACTCCCGTCATGCACTTGGGCTTCGTACAAGGATCTACACGACCCGGGTGAAGGACTCCACAGGCAATTCTCTGGCCGAGAACGCCATTCAGAGGATCAGAGGGTTGGCTGGTACTTTGATGGAATCCTTGATGAAAAGGGTTGGACTGAGGTTCAACAGCAACCACGCGCTGTGGAGCTGGGCTGCGCGTCATGCAGCTTGGACTTTGAACAGGTACCAAGCCAGCAGAGGTCATGTGAGTCACCGCTGGTTCCATTTGGTTGCCCAGTCTATGCTTACTTGAAGCCTTTGACTGGTAAGGGCAATCCGAAGTGGCGAATGGCAATCTTCCTAGGGAAGACAGAAGGCCAGGACGCATGGGTCGTGGGAGAAGGGCCGAATGTTCTGTTGACGAGGTCAGTGAGACGCATTGATAGGCCCTGGTCCAGGTTCACGACCTACTTCAGAGATTTCACTGCGCGCAGCTGGGAGTTTACATCGTGCCATCAAAGCGGGCAGTTGGGCCCATCCTTTGAACATGAGGAGAAGGAGTTTGCCAGCAGCTTGGGGCAACAGAGGAGGTTGTTTCAAGTGCCTTGGCAGCGGAAGGTGGAGTGCCAGCCCAAGAGCCCCGCAAGTAGAAGAGCAGAGTCCAGGATTGCCAACAACTCCACATCGCATCCTGGAGAGGAGGGCTCAGGTGAATTTGTTCCCATGGAAATACTCCCACTGCCATGGGCACTCAAGAGGAGAGAACCTTGAGGAAGACACCGCCTCCACCATCAGCAGTCAAGATCAAGCCGGAAGCAAAGAAACCTAGAGTTGAAAGCTCCAAGAAGCAAAAGGTTGAAAAAGAAGGCGCTACATCGTCGTCGAGCACTTCAAGGGCGGAAATGGTTGAGAGGCGAGTGGAGGAAGTGACCATTGAAGAGGAAACCATGTACCACTTAGATGAGGTGGTGGATGTGGAAACCCTGGCTATGGATGAAGAAGAAGAGGATGTGGAAAGCCTAGCACCAGGGGCAATTCCTGAAGCCTTATGGAGTGATGAACCCCTTAGCAGAACACCGCCGCAACCGCTACGCATGATTGAAGAGCTTGCAGATAGAATGGAGGAACAGAAATTGAAGAGAATGGGTGTGATTGCAGACCTAGGAACAGAGGATATGCTGTTGGACAAGCTTACAACAAAGTTTGTCAGAGATTGGCGCATCAAATCCAAGGTCAACGAGGACGGCGCAAAGGTCAAGAAGTGGTTGAGGAGATCACGCCTTGTGGCAAGGGAGTTTGCCAATGACAAGAGGGATGACGTCTATAGCCCAGCAAGTGGAAGCTACTCACTACGCCTGTTGCCCCTGATCTTTCTTACCATGAGGTCAATGGATCAGGAGCTGGACAATGGCAGTGGCAAAGCAGTTCTGGGTGCACTGGACGTGAAAGATGCCTTTCTACAAGTCCCTCAGGAAAGGCCACTCCAAATTTCAACAAGCATTGGAAGGTACAAGGTCCTGAGGAATCTGACAGCGGGTCGGTGCAAAGGCTTGGTTTGAGCATGTCCAACAACACCTGATCATGGACTTACTTTTGATGTGATCAATCCCTGCCTTGGGAGATGTGGAGAAGGAGGAGACAAGGTCTACGTGTTGATACATGTTGATGACATCATGTTTGCAGGACGATCCAAGGCAGTGGAGAAGTTCGTGGACAAGCTCAAGGCAAAGTTTGAAGTAGAGGTGTCGAGGGTGGAGGAAGATGGTCAGGAATTTTCCTTCCTCAAGCGCACCTACAAGCTGACGCCAGAAAGCCTGTTGGTCAAACCGGGCCAGTATGCAAGCAAGATGATCGCGCTGTTTGAGGATACCTATGGGAAGGTGAAAAGGCAGAGACTTCCAGCTTCAGCAGACATTCAAGATGCTGACAGCTCAAACTTGGTGGGACCCCAGGAAGCATCGACGTTTCGCTCAATCACTGGAATGGGTATCTATTTGGCCCAAGAAAGATTGGATATAGCCTACACCATCAAGGAGCTTGCAAGCAAGATGTCAAGCCCCACGGAGGTGGCAGTGCAGAGGATGCGCAAGCTGGTGGGCTATTTGAAGGAGACAGAACATCAACATATTCTGCTCCCAAATTCAATCAGAGGAGAAGGCATCAATACCCATGGAAGCCAAGGATGGATCCTCGAAACTTTCAGTGATGCAGATTGGTCAGGATGCAAAGCAACGAGGGGGGTCTACATCATCAGCAATACAGCAGCTCACGAGGACAGAAGACAATCAGCCTTAGTTCTGCTGAAAGTGAACTCAATGCACTGGTGGCAGCAGCCTGCGATGGGATTTGCTTGAAACACAGCCTGGAGTTCTTGACGCAGGAGGAGGTTGAGCACACATGCTGGGTTGACAATTCAGCCACCCGACAGATTGCGCGCAAGAGAGGCAGTGGAAAGCTACGCCACCTAAGTGGAAAGCTCCTGTGGTGCCAAGACAAGGTTGCAGATGGTAGCTTGTCAGTCCGCCAAGTCAGCGCAGCTATGAACATTGCGGACATTGGCACCAAGCCCCTGTCGAGAGCAAGGCTAGATCTATTGCTCTATTGGTGTAATGCCATGACAGGAGATGGACAGAGGGTTGGAGAGAAGCAACATGAGAGTTTCCAGGAGCAACACTTTGAAAAGGGCCGCATCATGAAGATGGCGAAGTTCCTCAACAGACTGGTAATGGTGGGCGGTCTTGAGCTGGCCGCGGGATCATGTGCAGCGCCGGAGATTGAAGAGGAGATTTCGTACTCTGATTGGAAGAGTTTGCTATTCTTCATTTTGCTGGCTATGGTGGTGATAAGTTTTACATGGATGTGGAAGAAGATCAAGCATCTCGAGTGGGCACTACGAAGGCTACAAGATGAGCTGGATGCGCAGAGGGCGGACTTTTCCAACAGTCTCCATGAGATGGAACTCACATGGAGCATGCAAATGGACTATACCCAGAGAATCCACCAAGGCTTGATCTATGTGGACGGCTATGTGCAGGAGGCATCCATCAAGCCTGGAGAGTGGGAAAAGTTGGAGTACATCGAGAAGATCAACAAACGCATTAGAGGAGCAACAAGAGAGCGGCAACAAGAGGAGGATGAACCAAGTCAGGGGATGATGATGATCGAGCAGGAGCAGAGCAGCCACTACTCTCAGGAGACACAGCGACAGTAGAGCTGGAAGACGGGAGAAGAGTGGAAATTCCAGTGGAGCATTTGACTCCACAGGAACAAGTGGTTGAACCAGAGCCCATACCAACGTCAGAACCTGAAGAAGCTGAAGATGAAACGATGAGTGATGCGGGCGCGCAGCCAGAAGGTGTGGAATGGAATCCTGAGCCGATCGAGATTCCAGAGCAGGACTACAAGTTCATGAATGACTTGTACAGAGCTCAAAGCTCGGAACGAGTTGAGTAGGATTGAAGCCTGCTGGTTCCACTATGCCAGAAAAGAAGATTAGCGCATGGAACGCAAATTGTACCCTCAGATGGAGGAGTGCTTTAAGCAGAAAGGCTCAGAAGCTGAAGGAGGAGTGCGAATGTAAGGTAAAAGCACTCACATGCTTGCACAGGTGTAGTTCACTAAAGGTGACACGCACAATCGAGAAGTGTACATGAAAGGCCGCAAAAAGGGCCAAAAGAATCCGCATTTATATATTTAACCCGTTTCGATGTGCGTCCATTCCTTTTTTCATCTTGCGGGGCATCCTTTTGCTTCTGCCCGGTTGCGCCAAGCTAACTGAGCGTTGCCATGTAGTATCCCACTGCGCACATGTTGCTTCTGGCCCAGGTCCAGTAAAACGGGGTTCTGCAGGTGAACACTTCAGGAAACCTAAGTAGAGAACATGTGTCTAGGAAGCTACTCCTTACTATTACAGAACCGCCTGAGTAGAGAGTGCGTCCAAGCCTAGTCGTAATATGTCTTACTATAGCGGGGTGGCCTCTAAGCCTTAGGATTTACTATTTCTTATGTTTGTCTCTTGCTATTCAAGACGCTTCGCGTCGACAGCCGCCTACACCGCGCGCGAACATCCGAAGTTAGTGAAATGGAGCTTCATGGGGTGATGCTGTAATTAACGAGGTTTGTGATTCCTAAGTCAGAAGTGAAGGAGGGTCAGATGCGAAAAGAAAGAGGGAGTAAAAGTATTCCCCATGGGACCATGTCTGCAAATTTGTAAAGGCCTGTCTTAGGGCCGCTGCAAATTTCGCCCATGTCGCCCATGTCACCAAACTTCCGAAGGATTTTAAGGGCTGTCTTACAGGTGGGTTGGAGCCATCTTGGGGCCAACTTCGTCTACCTTGGAACCCATAATGACGCTAATTGGGATCAGCTTGGGTGAGACAACGTCGGCATTGAAGCTATCTGTCAGATTATGTTCGGCCCTCCCCCAGCAGGACCAGGATTTTAAGTGAGCTTTTGCGAGCTATTTTGGCTCCAAATGGGGGACAAGTGCAGCCATCTAGGCGCCAGGTTGGTTGTCTTACGGCTGCGTTGGAGCCATCTTGGGGCCAACTTCGTCTACCTTGGGGCGCATAATGGTGATACAACTTCGGCATTGCCAAAAGCCATCCAAAAAAACACCTCCAAAACGCTGTCCCCAGTGGCCCTGCAGCCGAGGAAGAATGAATCAACGCAGCAACCGCCCCGAAACACAAAAACTATCAAACACTCCTCCAAAGCGCTCTCCCTAGTGGCCCTGCAAGCACGACGTAACGAAAAATCATCCAAGACTGTACTTCCAAACCGCTTTCCCCAGTGGCCCTGCAGCCCAACCATAGCCACGCGCGAAAAGAAAGGCCTCCCCTAGCAGAGCTAAAATGCAGAGCTCGACTGCAAGCGCCCCAATAGCACGCCCTGCACCGACAAGCGGTGTGGGCGGATTTTTTTTACTCCTTTTACCTATACGAAACGAGAACCTAAGGCTCATCGATTCCCTGGCCCATTCACCGCTGGCAGCATCTTGGCGCCATTTGGATCCTGCGGTGGAGCGCATAGACGTTCAGGTCTGGGCTTCGTGGCTTCCTTTTTGACAGGGCTGAACTGTTTCCTTGCAAAGAGCCCGGAACCAACACATGTTTGGAGTTTGATATTTATTTGAGTAATTTGAGCTAACACTTGCAGGATGATCCGGATGTGGCGGAGGAAGCGAAGCGCGTTGAGGATGGCCATAGCACCGAGGATGTGGTGCGCTTGGAGAAGCTAAGGAAGGTGCAAACGCTGTTGCATAAACAGACATCCGCAAGAAGGTTCCAAAGTCTCATAAAATTCGGACATACTCACAGCAACCCAAGCATTGCAAGACTCACAATAGGAAGTGACTGGCCTCTCATGATGGAAGCATCTTAAGATGAAACACCAGAATTGGAGAATCTGCATGGAGCATGAACGCATCCAGTACATGACATCCACACTTTTTTGAAATTAAGTTTGCCAGAAGGCTAAGAGACAGAGTAAGCGATGGCCTCCACCCTAGTAGCGATGGCCTCTAACCTAATGGCGATGACATCAAGCAGATCAATCTTCGTTTCTTCAGTAAACGCCTCACAGAGACCGTCCAGCCGTAGTTCAACCTCATCATCCGTCAGCCAGGTCTACCGAACACCTGAGGGAGCTCCGAAGGCATTGTGTTTCAGGGTGGCAGCATGATGCATAGGTGGTTTTCCACGAGGCTTTGCAGACGTGTCACTCGATTGGCATCAGCTAATACCATGTTGACATTAGTGTGCACCTGACGAACCATATAGTGTTCCTTGGGATAAACAGGTACAAAAAGAAAACAAGAAAAGGCACCTTTAGCAGCGCCCCCTAAACTTCTTATCTTCCTTTTTGTTTTTCGCCTTGGGTAGATATTTGAGTTCATGACACATGACAAACATCGAACCTTTTTCAAGCGCTTGGCCGAAGCGCACAGGTGGCAGTCCAAAGTCTGAGCTTCGGCCTGGCTTTGGGCGAATGTTTTGCTTTTCTTGGCACGAACGGTGTTGCCTGGCGACAGAGCTGCTTTTCATGGAAGATCACCAGTCCGATTCCTGTCAATTCTAAAACTGTGGACAACACATTAACCCAGTATGTAGACATAGATGTCCAATAATTTTTTCAAGGATACAGGATACATGTGTGACAAAGTATTTTGCCTCCATTAGCTATGGCTGTTGAGTCCTTCCAATCGCATTTTTGGCTTCCGAAGACACTCGGCTCCAGCAATGCCATTCACTCCTGTGGTCACAGGCGCAGAACAGGGTTTAGCACTTGGGAATCTACGAACAGAGACAAAGAGAGAGAGAGAGAGGGAGAGAGAGAGAGATAGAGAGAGGTGCAAAAGTCCAGGATGCTATTTCACTCTGTTGATGCGATGCAGCGCAGCTGGCACATTCAGTATATGACGGCGTATTCATACATAAATTAATTCTACGATTTCATATAGAGTTGAGTATGTGAAGTCCGGAGATGCTAGCCTATCAAAGCAGTTTTGTGGTGCCGATGCTGTGCAGACAGGGTAGTGTCATGATTCATACTAATGCAGTACTGCCAGTCGGGCGGATCTTTGTTGATACATTTTGTCAAGGTCCTCACCAGACAATGATGGGTCGACTTTCTGTGTCCTGAATGAACAATGTATTTTTAGCCCAGTGTGCGCGTTTTGACCCTCCAGTCCTTGATGCTAGGTTCTTTCCTGATGTGCCCTCTGCATAAATCCTTATGATGACGTTTTGATCTGGCAAAGCTTTCCTGACAAAGCCTTGCAAAAGTCCTTGTTGCTCCTGTGCCAACGGCTTAAAATTCAGATTCGGCTCATGGCAATGTCACTACTGGTCGTTCTTTTGATCCAAGACAGTTTTGCAAATTCAACACCCGATGTTGGCTTTGATTGTTGTGGGATCCTGTTCGATTTGTATTTATGTATATAAATATGTATATATATTATTATATACAGTAGATAGATGTTGAGGGCTAGAGGCGATGATTCTTCATCTCTCCCTCACTCACTCTCTCTCTCTCTATATATATATATTATTTGGTTGGTTTGAGGTTAAATGCTAGCCTTACGCCGAAATGGGACTGGCTTTCCTGCAAGATACCTGATGAGATGCTTCTGGCGCTCCTTGTCCTTTATGCTTGATTCCAGATCCTACATGCGCAAGGCCATGCCAGGGTGGGCGTAGGAAGGCTGCTGCAGCTTCCTACAGGCTATGTTGGCGTATGTTGGCTCCACGTTGGCTCTATGTTGAGCCATCTTGGAGGCTATGTTGGGGATATGTTGGCTATCTTGGGCCTATGTTGGGGATATGTTAGGCAATTTATGTTGAAAAACAATTTCCGATACAACTTTTTACGATTTTTCCTTCCCGCAAAGCAAAAGAACTGGAAAAACCTACATTTTTCAACATCGCCAAGATGAAATTCTCGGCCGCCGAGGGGCCCAAAGCCCTGTAAAAAAACGATGTTTTTGAACATCGCACGCAAAAAACACCGTAAATTACAGGGACTTCAGTGACCCCGAGGTGGGGGGAAGTGGGAAGGGGGTCCCCCCGTTTTGGTGTCGAGGGTCGGCGGCAGGGGGCGCGCGCTCCGTGGCCGACGCCCGGATTAAAGGCTTACGCCTAACAGCCGGGCGCCGGCCCACTTGGGTCTGTGGGGCGTATGTCACGCCGCATGGAAGGGGACAATATTTCCACCGAACATAGCCCCGGAAGTGATCCCCTCCCGGTCATGTTTCGAGATAGGGATTTGCTCAATGTAGTTGGGGGGTTAAAAGACTGCTACCGGCAGTAAGGAACACGATCTGGAAGGGGGTCTTGTGCTCTTGGAGCCAAGGGAGTCAGTATGAAAGGAAGATAGGGACTTGAACGTCGCAAATCGAGGTATCTCTTCTCAAGGTAGCTCAAGATCGCGCAATTCGGCTCAATAGGAGCAGAGATAAGCAGAGATAAGGTCAAGTAACGGTAACGGTTGTCCTAACGTGGCCCGACATAGTTTCCATATTGTCGAACATAGCCCCAGAACGCCCCCCCCCCAATGTTTACGATGTTGCCGTTCCGGAACGTGATCTCTGCTTATCTCTGCTCCTGCGGAGCCAAATAGCACTTCTAAAGCTATGTCAGGCAATATGGAAGTCCCTATCTCGCAGACACGTCCTTTAGATAGTGACTTCTAGGGCTATGTTCACTCTATTCCAGTCCCTTTTGAGCCGTCGTTGGGCCATGTTTACGACGTTCAAGTGCCTATCTCGGGGAAGCATACTCGAGATAGTGACTGCAGGGGTTATGTTCGACCATATGGGAGCTATGCTCGTAAGATAGTGTTGCCGTTCCTAGACCTGATCTGCACACACTTAAGATAGTGCCTTTGGGGGCTATGTTCGATCATACAGAAGCTATGCTCGGGAGAAAATGTTACCATTCCTGATACCCGGACGTTCAAGTCCCTATCTCGCAGACACGTCCGTTAGATACTAGTGACTTCTGGGGCTATGTTCGATCGTATGCACGCTCTGCTTGCGCGAAAATGTTACCGTTCCGGAACTGGATCTCTGTTTATCTTTGCTCCTGTGGAGCCAAATATCACTTCTAATGCTATGCCAGGCAATATGGAAGCTATGTTTGGCCACGTTAGGGGGGGTTGTATTCCAGTTTACGACGTTCAAGTCCCTATCTCGCAGACACGTCCTTTAGATAGTGACTTCTAGGGCTCTGTTAGGCAATATCTTCACTCTATTCCAGTCCCTTTGGAGCCTTCGTTGGACCATGTTTACGACGTTCAAGTACCTATCTCGGGGAAGCATACTTGAGATAGTGACTTTTGGGGTTATGTTCGACCATATGGGAGCTATGCTCGTGAGATAATGTTACCGTTCCTGGACCTGATCTGCTTATCTCTGCTCCTGACCAGCCACGTACCCGGACGTTCAAGTCCCTATCTCGCAGACACGTCCGTTAGATAGTGACTTCTAGGGCTATGTTACGTACCGCTCAGATGATTCAGATGATGCAGATGATGCAAAGCAGAAAATTGCATTTCTTGCATCAAGATAGCAAGCATTAGCACGAATTTATCTTCCAGCACTTTAAGCCAGTTCCAAAAACGTGAAAAACACAGGATTCTAGAGCGAAAATGCCCCCCCCCTAGCTAAAGCTATCAGTACTACTTGCGCTACTTGCGGTATAATGCGTGCCCTATAAAACGCCTCAGCACCTTCGGTGCGGGCGGATTTGGTGCGCATCTTCGCCCTAGGTTGGGCCAAGTTGGGCCCACGTGGTCAATGTTGGGCACATCTTGGGCCCATGTTGACCCTATGTTGTGCCTATGTTGGCCTATGTTAGGCGTATGTTGGCCTACGTTGGCCTAGGTTGGGCCGACGTTGGGCCTGTGTTGGCGTATGTTGGCCCCATGTTGTCCCTATGTTGAGCCATCTTGGAGGCTATGTTGGGCAGATGTTGGGGATATGTTGGCTATCTTGTGCCTATGTTGGGGATATGTTAGACGATTTCTAGTGAAAAAATCTTCCGACACATTTTTGGACGATTCTTCCTTCCCGCAAAGCAAAAACCTTGGAAAAACCTACGTTTTTTGACATCGCCAAGATGAAATTCTCGGCCGCCAAGGGGCCCAAAACCCTGTAAAACATAGTGTTTTTTAGACCTCACACACACACGAAACACTGTAAATTGCAGTGAACCGGACGTCCGCCCGTTTTTCGGGGCGGGGGGCGGGGGGGGGGGGGGGGGCGAGCGTCTATAACCTTCGGTTACCACCGAAGGCCTCCGGCGAGGACACGGGCGTGTGGCCGGCGCCCGGATTTGAAGGCTTACGCCTAACAGCCGGGCGCTGGCCCACTTGGGTCTGCAGGGCGTATGTCACGCCTATGTTGGCCTTGGTGGCCTATATTGAGCAAAGTTAAGCTATCTGGTGCGCATCTTCGCCCTAGGTTGGACCAAGTGGGGCCCATGTGGTCTGTGTTGGGCACATCTTGCGCCCATGTTGAGCCTATGTTGGGCCTATGTTGGCCTGTGTTAGGCCCATGTTGGCCTAGGTTGGGCCTATGTTGGCGTATGTTGGCCCCATGTTGGCCTATGTTGGCTCTATGTTGAGCCATCTTGGAGGCGATGTTGGGCATATGTTGGGGATATGTTGGCTATCTTGGGCCTATATGTTAGGCAATTTATGTCGAAAAAAATCTTCCGAGACAGCTTTTTACGATTTTCTTTCCCGCAAAGCAAAAACACTAGAAAAACATGCATGCATATTTTAACATCGCCAAGATGAAATTCTCGGCCGCCAAGGGGCCCAAAACCCTATAAAACACAGTGTTTTTTATACCTCACACACACGATACACTGTAAGTTACAGGGGCTTCAGTGAACCGGAAGTGACGAGGGGGTCCCCCCATTTTGGTGTCGAGGGTCGGCGGCAGGGGGCGCGCCCATATATAACCTTCGGTTACCACCGAAGGCCTCTGGCGAGGACACGGGCGCGTGGCCGGCGCCCGGATTTAAAGGCTTACGCGTAACAGCCGGGCGCCGGCGCACTAGGGTCTGTGTAGGGCTGGGTCGGGTGCGCGCGCAGCTATCGGGGGCGTACAGGGCCCTGGGTGGGGGCAAGGTGGGAAACTGCTCGGCGTTGGAGACGGGGGCCGGGGTCTGCAGCACAAGTTAAGCTATCTGGCGCGCATCTTGGCCCTAAGTTGGGCCAAGTTGGGCTCATGTGGTCTATGTTGGGCCTATGTTGGCCTACGTTAGGCCTATGTTGGCTTAGGTTGGGCCTATGTTGGGCCTATGTTGGCGTATGTTGGCCCCATGTTGGCCTATGTTGGCCCTATGTTGAGCCATCTTCGAGGCTATGTTGGGCATATGTTGGGGATATGTTGGCTATCTTGGGCCTATGTTGGGGATATGTCAGGCAATTGAAATCGGAAGGCCTCTACCCACAAAATGTCGATTATGCTTGTCCGCCCGGCGCGCATTACCGACACCACCCTTGAAA